GGTCTCACCAGAGCAGAGTACATGTCCCAGGTAGCAAGAGCCAGAGCCCACCAGAGACTGCACCAGTCAGCGTGAGCCCCACAAGTGAGAGAGCAACTGAGAGAGACCCAGCTGACCCACCAACATGGCCCACCCCAACTTACACACCGAGCATGACATTCCATGGAATGAAATACCCCTTTGGTCAGTTTGGGTCAGCTGTCCCGGCTGTTTTCCCACACACACAGTGCTTGCAGTGAGAAAGTTGGAACACAGGAGCAGTATCAGAAGCTTAAAAATGCCCTACTCCTAAGCACCAACTGAAAACACCAGCCTCATCAGTACTCTTCTCAGGGCAAATCTAAAACATAGCCTCACACAAACCCAAAACACAGCCTCATAGTAGCTACTCTGAGGAAAATTAACTCCATCCCGAGTAAAAGCAGCAGAACATACTATCTTAGGACAGAACCACTCATCTCTCTCATAAAGACTGGGGTTAAAGCCACCCAAAGTAATGAGCATGTTCCGCTTCTGAAAATTAACTCCATCCCGAGTAAAACCAGCAGAACATACTATCTTAGGATAGAACCACTCATCTCTTTCATAAAGATGGGGGCTAAAGCCACCCAAAGTAATGAGACTGTTCCGCTTCCACTTTTAAGACAGCTTCATGTAACACTGATCACATCCAATATTCTAGGAAATAATTTGATAAGACATGTGGGTGTAAAAAGCTTTCTCCTACATCGAGCATGAAATTAAACTACTTCTCTTACCTTGAAATTTATCTTAAAATTGACAAATTCTAGCCTCTCTGTTTTAAAGCAAGTTTTAGCTTGTCAAATGACTCCACTTTCAGTTCCTTTTGTTTTGAAGTGGAACAATTTCTCTTAGAGAAAACTAAATTTGCTAAAATCGCCGAGTTACGTACACGTGGCTCTGTGATACCTTACAGCCACATTTTACTCCTCCTCCTTGCAATATATGGCCATGCTTTGCCTAAGACGATGAGTGAACTGGGCTGACTAGTTTAAAATTAATATAAAAGGCTAATGCTTCCCAAAGCTGGGCTCTTTTTCCTAATGCAAAGCAGCTGAATTCCTCTGACCCACCTCCGGCTGCTCAGGGTGTATCAAACTCCTCCTGAGAAGAGATGTGCAAGTATCTTACCATCCGTTGTGCTGCTATAAGTGCTGCTAAGGTGCTTCTGCCCGGCGCTCCCGGAGCACAGTACGACACCTGGACTCTCTTCCCTTGGATGGTGATGCCATCGGTGACTTCTCGTACTTTCTCCGCCTGCTCCGCAGTTTCGTACTCCACCACGGCGAAATCGCCGATGCAACTGTCTTCATCCTGCGCAAACTGAAACAACATTTCACGACATGCTGAACACCACGCACGCTTGCAGGAACTGCCTTGCAATATTTGCACCTATCCCCCTGCAAACAGTTGACATCTGGTGTTCATGTCTAACCAAATCCGCATGTTTCTCTCCCAACGGTGCCAGACAGAAGCTGAGTATCATAGCTTCGTGTTAGATTTGGCACGCGTGCTCTACCTACGCGACTTACAACCTTCACTTCAATCTAAGCTCGTGGAAAACCTGAGCCACGAAACCTATTTAACACCTATTTTCAGAATAACGAAGGAATGAGCAGGAAATTGTAAATACAGCTGGATGTTACAGCAATTTTTATTTTGCAGGATAATTATGAGCTCATTACCGTTTGGTTTTTAAGCCTGCAATAATAGAGATGTCATCCATCAAGCTACACGCTAGTTGTTGAAACATGTAACAATGCAAATTCCACTGATATATACTGCCTTTTAGGAGAATATGAAGTCTGTGGTTGTATTTAATGCCAAGAGAAGATGCCAGACTGATCAATCAAGCAGACTGGAAACAGGCTTATGTGTCGAACAATGCTCTGTCCTTTGTTTGCAGAGTTTTGTAGCAGAATGAGCAGATTTAAATCAAACAAAAAAAGGGGATGAGAAGGGAGGGAATAAAGCTTAGGCAAAAATCCCCAGTCTCAAAATGAGCAGAAATGATACACTGACAGTAGCTGTGATGGGGAAGGGAGGAAACGGCCTGTAGATTTCACTGGATAAAAAACAACCTCTTCCCAACTATGGGGTCCCACTAATTTACACTAACAATTGAAATACAAATCTCAAATATTCTGAAGAAAAAGAGGGCAGTCAGATCTTTAATGCCACTGTTCAAGACTGGCCTCTGGGAAGGGTCCTGGGGGACACGCATATTTTTGCTGTATTAACGAACACAGATATGTATATACTACATGCACACGTGTGTGTGTGTGTCCACATCAATTTTTTAAATCAATTTAGCTGCACTGGTGAAGACCTGAAGTACTTGTGAAAATGACTGTTTGCAGCTGTGGGACACACTGCAGTTTCAGGCACCATTAAAAACTCCCTTAAGGTGGGAAAGTGCAGCTACCAGCATTCTTGCCAAGAGATCAGGAATATTCGTACTTCCCAGGTAGGCAGGTGCTGAAGAGAAGCCTTCTGTCCCTATCTAGACAGCAGCGGACACCTCCTACTGACAAGGTGAAGCTGATGTAAGAAAGGAATGAGGGGTTTGGGTGCATTTTGCTGAAACAAAGGACAAAATATATTCCTGTAAGTCCTAGCGAATGCCATTTTTCTAAGACCTACATATAAGTACCTGGCTTCAGCTCTTCCTGACAGAAGATTTCTATTGTCAACAGAGGAGAAATCAAATTGATTTAAAAAAATAGTAACTTTAGAAAAAAGTGAAATAATCCAGAGTTTAATTCATTAGTTCAGCTAAGCATTTTAGGTAAAAGATGGTATTTGCATGATGAAATACTGCATCAGAATTACCAGCAGAACTAAGCCACGAGAGCAGCACAAGGCAGCTACGTTACAGAAGCCATACCAGGGGTCAAAGCGACCCTACCGGAGGGACAAGCTGGGTGCAGGACTGGTGTGCAGGCTGGCTTGGCTGAGACTAGGAAAAGGAAGGGAGAGAGAGCCTGTAGTCATGAAGACGTAAAATTACAAGGGCGTGAATGAACATCTAAATTGTTTTTTCTGATACGTATTCATTCTTCCAAGAAAAGGTGTCCAGATACAGCCCTCCTCCTAGTCGTTCTCTATTGAAAATCCCTCCCCACCCAGGTTTCTGCTACCCTGTCGTCTCTTAGTTTTCCTCTTACATCTCTACCTATCAGGTCATGTCTTCGTCCTTCTCCTCTGTACTTAATTTTTAGTTCACCTCACTCATAAAACCATAATTAATTAGCACCATTCTGATGAGAATTCATCCACCATCTTCCTTTTTTTATCTATCAAATCTGAACTCCCTGTTTACCTACCTCAACCCTCACATCTTCCCTCTCCGGAGGGCTGCTTCCGCCGTTAGCCCCTGGAGTTCACCTCCATCACTCACCCGCTACCTCTGCCAACCAGCACCCTCGCTGCCTCTCCCCACCACCCCTCGCAGCACAGCCTCCTTTACCCGTCAGTTCCTCTTGACTGAGAATAAACCACATGTTTATTCTCTGAGAATCACTGAAAATAAATCATAGGTGAACCTACTTTTCTTCTATTACCACACTTCTACTATCTACCTATTAGTCTACTACAGTGTGTTTATGCAAGTGACAGGCAATACCAGAACAGGCAAAGAATGTTTTCTCAGATATGTTTTTGGCTGGGTGACTATTTCCTAATTCAAAAGCATACCATTTAATTCTTGTATTTTCTAGAAACACGTATTTAGTGCTACTTACGGATATAACAAACAGACCTCCCCTACACCAGGTGCTACCCATGTATCATTATGACTTAAAGTCAATTGTTAAGTGCCTCTAACTGCACAGCAGAATACCATAAGTGAAAACCAACTTTATCAAAGCAGCCTGTTATCCTTTGAACCTCACAATTTTTAAAGAATGTTGAAAACTGGTTGGGCGAGCCGGTAACAGCCTCCGGATTATCCGACAGCTGGAAAACAGCCCTGAAGTAAAAGACTTTAGAAGATCAATCTGTTTAGCTAATGAAACAAAGATTGAGCAAGTGACTTCATTACAGCATTTAATACCTTCTTACAGGAAGAAAACAGTGGGGAGCAAAGGCTTCCCAGCTTAGTCATCAATGAAGTGATACTGAAGCCAGATATATTCACCTGAGAAAACAGACACAAGGGCAAAATAACAAGGGACAGGCAGATTCTGGAAAGTTACTTCCAATTTATGCATCTCCTGGTGTACTTGGATCAAGCAAGAATAAGGATGTGCTTTAGCCAGCTAGATATTAGAGGGGCTTGAAAAGAACACTAAGGAAAATGCGATGGCCTGCGGGCTGTCTGGTCTGACAGCCTGAAGGACCTTCCCGTCTCAGCTGCTGAAAATCTCTGGTTCCTCCTCCCTGAAGCTAATCCCCCGGCAGCCTTCAGAGACACTTAAGAAAAACAACAAACAACTGAAAACATGCCCAACTGTGTGACTAGAAAGCAAGCTTTCTTTTGACTGCCTGATTCTGGCACGCTGGTCTGCACCACTTTACGAGCAACATTTCATCCGGGGTCTAGCATCCCCCAAGCCGTCAAGATGAGAAGGAAACCTTTACATTTGCAAAGGCTGGTAAGGATCTACCTCTTCTGTACCTGCAAGCCTTCCAGAAGATGTACCACGTCTATCACTGGCAAGCCCAGCAGCTACGAGAGCCCAAGGCTACACCTTCCTTGGTTTGGGAAAAACCACATTAGATACCTGCAGAGGTTTCTTAAATGTATTAATTATACACACACACACACACATAACCGCTGCACTCGGTTTCTCTGCTGAGCAATAAAACCATCATCACTGTTTACTTTAAAAGCTCTCTAAAATTATTTTCAGTAAAACACATGAGGAGGGGATGTCTTCTAAGCATTTTATTGGTGCTTCCCGGTCTCCTGCGCAATTCCCAGATGACACAGACCAATCACTGCAAACCCATTCCAATAAAGAGTTTGTACCAAGTCATACAGCGCAGTGCAGATGCATAACCATTCGCTACTGAAATGAAAAAGCAGCATAAGACAGCAAGCGGTGAAGTATGCAACCTCAGGGCTACGTAAATCACGACCGTAACCTTCCGAAAGACACACGTTCAACATACCTGGCAGAACACAGGTTTGTACTTCAGTGAGAAAGCTTGGATCAGCTCTTTAGAATCAGCGTAGTCTTTTTGCAATTTATCTACACAAAGGCACTTGGAGTGAATAAGACTTGTGGTCAACTGGTTCACATCCATCCACTGTGCAAAGAGAGTGTTCTCCTCCAACTGCTTTCCCAGAAGTTCCAGCCTCGCCTTCGCAGCAGAGTCCTTCTTCATGTACTCCACAAAGCCGTAGCCCTTTGACTGGCCAGTGACTTCGTTATAGACCAAAAAACACCTCTCAACATTGCCATACACACGCACAAGTTCTTCAAACTCTTCCAACGTGAACGAAATGGGCAAATTAGTAATGCACAGCAAAGCATCTGTCGGTTGGAGCTGCACGGATATTTCTTTTCCCCGAAGAGAATACTGGTGAAATTTCTGAATGGCGCTTTGAGCCTGCTCTCCATTTAACAGAGTAACGAACGCTGCAAGAGACCAAACCAAGTTTCGTCACCTCCCACAGATTCTCTCCAGCTACACAGGCAATTACTGTACCTCTCCCTCCCCCCAAGATCCACCAGTGCAAGTCACAAGAAAGGTACGAGTTTGGGATTTATCCTGAAGATGCAGAGACATACGGATATTTGAAAAATTGACATTATAAACTGGACGTCATGAGTAATTAACTCAAAGAGTGACTACAAAACCACAAATACGCACAATCTCACTGCTTGTAACGCAGTAAAATTTTACATTTGGAAAATGAAAAGCAATTAAATTTTATACTCAAGTCAACACATTACTGATTCTACAGCATTTCCTGAAGCCAGCATCCATAAATTCTCCCTTTGGCATTACAGGATCTTTTTTGGATTTTCAGCCTGTAAAGCCTTTCACACAAGCACAGAACCACAGACTGGATAAGGCTGGAAGGGACTTCTGGAGAGCATCTTGTCCATCTCCTCCTCCAGCCTGGCCACCCAGAGCTGCGAGCGCAGGACCACGTACAGATGGGCTCTGAACGTGGCCACGGATGGAGGCTCCACAACTTCTCTGGGCAACCAGTATCAGTGCTTAGTGACCTGCACAAAGTGCTCCTGCTGTTCAGAGGGAAAGTCCCGTGGTTTAGTTGGCATCTCTTGCCTCGTATCCTGTGAATTAAATGTGATGGAACAGTCTGCACTGAACCAAGGCGATGGAAGCTAATTCACGAGTTTCCAAGCATTTCCGAATACCGCCCTGCACGCTGAACACGGACGTTCAGGTTGTTGTTAGCAGACTACAGCACCTCACACATAAACTGGCTGTATTCCGTATTCAGAAATCCAATTTGCAAGATAACGTGACATTAAACCACAGATTTTTGTTCCTTAGAGGCAGATGTCAAGGAACACCATTATCCCCATGAAATCCTGACAGAAATCTATCCGAGCTACCGCATTACTTTATCCTGGAAACCAAGGTTGACACAGAAGAGGCCTCAGGGAGGGACTGATGGTGGTTTGGAAGGACAGGAACGTGCAGAGAAAATGTTTGTCCATTTCTGTACCTAACAAGTGCTAAGAAATGCGTGAATCCCCTATTTAGAGAACTAATTTGTAAATGGAGGATCAGACTTAGATAATCCAGGATTTAATCCAGGACATTTCCTTCAAAGATTTCAGTGTTCTTTAATAAATGGTGTCTGGCTTATGCGTGTGTGTCAGGTAGTATCTGGGTCTAGGTACGTTTTCCTCTAACCATGTCACAGGCACGTGTGGTTGTCCAAAGAGCGGCCCAAGGACTAGTTTTTCTAAGGAAACCAGACAGCTGAGGTTAGCTTTGTCCCAAAGAGACGCTCACTAATGGAATATGCCTGGCAGACACCACAGTTGACCAAGCTACTTCTGGCTGACATCAGTGAAGTTTCCAACTCTCCTCTGGCTTCGGCAGAAGGTGACAAACTGCAGCCAAAAAAGGCACTGAGGGACAAACGAGCTGTGTGACAGCAGACAAGTTGGGGACTTCACAGATGGCAGATGATGGTCCTCACCAGTTTCATCACAAAATTGCAGCTTAGATGCTGGAAAATTTTAAGTTCTTACCTGTTCTTTTATTTCTGTCCACATAACAATACTTGATTTCATAATCTTTAAATAAGTCATGGATTTCCTAAAAGAGAAAAGTACAAGTAACATCACATAACCAAGTCATCAGACCAAGTAAGTGCATAAATTCATCGTAATTTAAAAAAAAAAATCCCACCCAGCAAACAACTTTCCCAAAACCCAGAAAATCTCACCATGGAAACACTATCAAATACTCGTTTCCGAAAGAGCTGGTTCTACTACTGCAGTGATGTTTTTACCTCTCATAAAAATCTGGCTTATTGAATTTGATTAATTTACTTTTCGTTATATAAAGTCACATAAGCACAACAGGGTGTCCTGTTGACTGTCTTTTGATAAAGACAAATAACATCAGAGTTCATTCAATAGCCAAGCCCCCACAATTTCTCCAGAGTACAACTAGCATAGTTGAAATACCACACAGACTAGAACTACTGGCAACATCCCATGATGCCATTTACCTAGAGCAGGCAACGCTGTCGTAAAACGCAACAGTTGCTTTAGTTCCCTGTAGCTGCTCAAGTTCACTTCAACGGATTTTCACTCTTTTAATAATGAATATTCTTTCAATCAGCAGATAATTGTGCCCAGAACACCCCCTGGAAAGTATCCTCTATCAATTACTGCACAGATGCTCAATGAAGAATCAATCCCAAGAGCATTATTTGCTCCAACTAATTAACGAGGAGAGAGCAGGGGTGTAGGAGAGGTGGGGTAGGAACAAGCGTAAGAGGTGTGTACCCGTTTGCTATAGCTCTCCCCAGCAAGGGCAAGGTGTGCGCACGTGGCCCACAAAGCGGTGCAGCAGCAAGAATGCAGATGTGAACATCGATGATCCCCAAGAAGAAACCGCGAGTAGTGACCTGGGTATTAGTATTCTTTTAGTTGGGGAAATCCCATACACAACACCAAAAGACTATCTGAGTAAGCAAAATAATCGATTGACTTTGAGAGTTTAATTGCAGACAATTTCCAGTAGCCCAGCCTACCAGCCCATTTGCTAATTCAGTATATATAGCCTAGAGGTTAATTGGGTTCTCTGCGACTGGTATCAGGTGCACACCTTTTAGTCAAGTGAAGGCCAATCTCTAGTTTCACGAGTTAACAGCTGTCAAATACTACATTAATAAAACATGGCAACATTTCTCCAGCTACCAGACATCCTCTAATCAGACGGGATAAGGATGTGGCTTCTGGAAAGCAAATACACCAGGCACAATTCAAAGACTCCAGTAGAGCAGTCGATGTGACTGTGGGCATCACCCTACTGAGACTCAGACGGCAGTTCATTCACAGTCCTGAGAGACTGCAAAGATGCTTTCTGCACAGTCCTGTACAGCCCAGCTGTACTAGGGCACTGAAGACTAAAGAAGTTACTTCTGTCCCACTTATGAAAAGGGGGACATATATTTACCTTTTTTATATCCTAGATTATTTTACAAGAGCAACACTGAAAGTTTCATATGATGATTAAGTAGCAGGAAATAATATTTCAACCAGCTCTGAACCCGCTTTTGAAAGTCATCTGCGAATCAGATGATGCCACATGATTTCCCAGAAAGCGTTTGAAAAGTTAAGTGAGAGGGAAAATTGCCTGTCATGAACGTATCTTCCTGGGATAATCATGAGATCTCACAACCAAAATGATGAGAGCATAAGGAAGATTTAAAATGAAAACCTAATTTAAGCAAAGTAATTTTTTTGAAAGATTTTAACACCAGTTCCCACAGGTTGTTGCCAACACCGCAAGGTTTGTGCAACGGGCTCTTCCAAGGAGGTGCTTGCTCTAGCGCACTCGTGGCTCCGTGGCAGGGCTGAGACCTTGACCTGTGGGTCTGCGCAGTATTTCAGTGAGAGCCTCTCTCACGTGAAGAGCACTTGTGACAATTTACAAAAATAAAACACACTACGCCATCTCTTAAGCAAATGTATACTCCTTCAGACTAAACAGGCGTGTAAATATCTGTGTGCACTAGACGAAGACTGTTCATAGGACCTTCAGAATCACTAAGCAGCCGGCTTTTGAACTCGGGCAGTTCTCTGAACTTTGACATCCTTCCACACTTGGGCCTGATAGAAAAGAACGAACACTGCTACGGTTTGAATGTTGTCAACAGTCTCATTCACAACACCTCAGAGCAGAACTCTCAGGGGAAGCACCACGGACACTTCAACCGCTGTTCCACCACCAAACACCGCGCACCACTGACGCTGGACGCAGCCGGTCCCTTTGGAGTAAGCAGTTACCCGCTATCTGGGGGCCAGGAAGGAGTGTTTACGCCAGGAGGAGAAACGGGTCATCCAAGTCAGGTATACTCCCTGGTGCAACCCTATTAACTTGCAAGGAATGTAAGCAGAGGGCTGTTTCCCTGAGCACGGCAGAAACAAACAGCCACGGTTTGTTCCCTGTTCCCGAGCTCCTGCCGGCTCATGTACCCGGGGAGCCTGGCCTCCGCACCCTCAGCCCAGCTACACCAGCTCTCTTCCCACGTCAGGCCCTACGGAGAAGCTGTCAGCCCCTACCCACGCCCTGCGGTAGGAAAACCCATCGCCCTCCCCGGGCCAGCCTTGCCGCGGGGCTGCCACACGAGAAAGGCAAGGCAAGCGCTCAGCATTCATCACGTGGGGTTTAGCAAAGCTGTAGTAGTGAGCCCAGCGGTGGTACCACACGCCAGCAGCGGCTGCCACCACATCCAAACCGTTCGCCAAGGCTGGCCGCTCTCTTAGTACTTGTTCCACACAACGTTTACAAAACTGCTGCTCCTAAAGGAATTTTTTTGAATCTACCAGTGACTGACAATTGCCACAACAATCATGGTTTAAGTGCAGCAGGTTAAGTCTAACCAGAATGGCAACATCCACTGACACACGGTCCAGCCCTGAGTGCCACGCACTGAACATCAGCGAGACTGTATTTTGATGACAACGTTTGTAAGCGCTTATAGAGCTGTCTGGCAGTTACAGAGCAGTCATGGATCCCGTGACGTTCCCAACACAAACGCTGTCCATAGTGGTGCCTATCTTGGCCCTTCGTTATTGCGCTGCCAGGACCGACTCGTAGTTGGCTCCCGAACCAGGAGGCACTGACCCCTGGGCACAGAGGTGTGTTTGTACCTGAGCAGAGGCCCCGCCAAGCAGCTCCCAGGGGATGTGTCCCCGGTCAAAGCAAGGATATGTACTGCAGAAAGGCAGAGGAGGAGAGAAAACGGGGGAGAGAGCTTGCTCAGAGCAACAGCAGTTGCATAAACACGTGGGCGATGCCAGTGGCTCCAACTGAACATCTTGGAACCGCAATGTAACTGATAATGCTTAGCTACTACACAGCCCCTTAAGCCTCCACAGTTCTTAAAAGCAGACTCTGAAAGCTAGCTAATCTTATCATCAGTAAGAATTAAAATCCTAACAAGAAAATAATGAGTTCATTAAGCAGAAAAAGCATCCCCAAATACAGTAAAGGGAGATTAAGAGAAAGCACCAGTAAATACAGGCTGAATATACTTTAAAAAAAAAAAAAGTATTATTTACAACTATAAGAAATGTGGCCTTGAAATACTTCAGTTCTTGGCCTGTCCTGTCTTGTCCTGGGTAGAAAAACTGACAACATCAGTTTTAACTGCAGACTATCAGTGTGAAATGAGCAACTCTCAATCGGAAAGAAAGCCTGCCATAGAGAGGATCTGCCTTTGTGCTTTATTGCCTGCACCGTTCTGAACGCAGACAAGAAAGGGAGTCATTAACAGCCGCACTTGCCCTACTTATCAAATCAGTAAAGCTCAGTGTAACATTTCTAATAAAATCAGCTTTTCATACCCAGGATCTCACAGTGCAAGAAATACTCAGTCGTCACCTGGAACAATATACCACGTACATAAAGCCTACAGCCACCTAATCCAAGTATTTTTTTCTCTCTAGACGTAATACTGAATTGTGTTATTCTGGCACCAAAATATTTAACAATTATCAGGGTGCCTGCCCAGATTTCTACAGTAAGCTTTAGTGGTGTTTCCAACGTAAACACTGGACAAGCCTGGTCTATAACTTGGCTCTTGGGAAGCAGCTGAAGGTCTAAAACTTTATGTGTATATTCTTGAACTGGGAATCAATTATGTTTTAAGTAGCTGAACTAAATAACATGTTTGACTAACCAAGAAGATTTAAATCATCTCATAACTGAAAAAGACTTGGTTTTCCATTGTGCAGGCGGAGCAGGAAAGAGGACTTCTCAGGAAAAAGCTTTACATTTACAAATTATGTAACGGGGCCTAAACTAAATTATGTAATGAGTGGCCTAAAGTTTGAATTGAGTCCATAACACAACACACAGATCTCACTGCAGACGTACCAAAACGTAAAAGTCTGCTGGCAACAAAGCCATGGTAAGCAAGAGAACATCAACACGGTTTAAAACAGTAACACCTCTGAGACTGTGCTGGAGAGTAAGAAGGGGAGTACGTAGCACCAACAAGAGGGTTAGATAACAGGCACAAGGACTGATGTAAAGTGCAATTTTAAATCTCTCCTGTCTACCAAAGGCCACAGAGGTAGGGAGTCCTCAAGTTTTCACCAATTGGGCATCGACTGCCACATAAATCTTCCCTTGTTCCTAACAAGCAAAGTTTCAAACATAACACGTTCTCTTCTTGGGCAAACTTTCAAGTTTTTTTCAATGTTGCGTTAAAGAAAGTTCTTAGATGAGCAGTGGCTGTAGGATCAACGTGTAGCAGATATCCACCTGGCCAGGCACCCAGGAACAGAGCCCTAAAGCTTTTGCTCAGAGCATTCCCTCTTTGCTTCCACAAACACTCACCAACTATGAAACTCAAAATAAGCCTGTAATGCTAAGCCATGAACTGCCTTTGGGGTGAACCTCTTTGTTTGAGAACTGACCCTCATAAGATCATACACTCCGAAGATCTCTTGCAAAGTAATACAAGAAAACATTAAGACAGAAGAACAACAGTTGCTCAATAAACTTATGATGGACATGGAATGAAAAACACATTTCTCTGATCTTCCAGAGACATATTAGTGTGTTGATAAGGG